TAAGTAAATATATAATATAAATATATAAGTTATTTTACAAAAAAATTTAACTTATATTAATTTCCATATGAATCTTTATATGTTTTAAATTATAAAAATCATATCAACTTTCTTAATAATATTTCAAAATAATAAAGTTAATATCTCAAAATTCAGAGTGAATTCGAGAGAGATTGATTCAATATCAGGTAAGATAAACTATTTATATAATGTTTACAATATCTTGATGATACAATTATTAATATATTTTAGTTTTATATATTGCACTTGAAAATAGAAATTTATTTGATAAATAATATTTATGTAAGATCTAAATATTTCATTCTTTCAACTTGTTATATTTATAATTTCATTTTCATGAAATATAAAAATAAACGGATATTTTATTACTTTTTTTACAATTATATTAATTTAAAGTTTTTCTAATAATTCAAAATTTATTAAATATGCAACTTGTTTCAGATTGGTTTGTTTAATCTTTAAAAATAGAATAATCGGATCACTATTTCTGAATGAGAAATGTGTGAGCAAAAGCAGCGAACGGAATGAGAACAGGTGTGTCAAGTATAGAAAAAAATTATAATACAATAAAGAAAACAAATGATTAAATAAAACATTGTATGATTGTAACTGGTGATTATTCTAATGAAAAGTTAAGTGAAATATGAAAATTGTCGAAATAATTGAAAAAACTTAAATTAAAAATATAAAGTATTGTTATATATATTTGATAAAAACAGATATTTTATTTTATATTATTTATTTCTTATTCTTTTATATTTTTTACTCATTTATCCTATATTCTGTTATGTTTTCAATTATATTCAATTATATAAACTTTGTATATAAACTTGTTAGATTAATGTTAAATTAATCTTTTAGATATTTCTTTTTAAGAAAATTATTATATATTTATAAATTTTTATTGTATTGTGTGGGCATTGTTATTATGTATTCAAGTTTTTTATGTATTCAATATATAATCTACCTTATAAGCAAAAATCTTTATATTTTCTCTATTATAATTATAAATATTGATATGATTTTAAAAGAAAGCAACCATTTTTTTCAAATGATTTAAAAAAAAACAGAGATAAAAGAGTCCATTATGCTTTAAATTAACTAATTGATATATATGATATATATATATTGTCTAAGTATGTGAAGAAGACTAGAAAAATGAGAGAAAGTGAATCTAACTATCTCTTGATGTTGCGTCAACATAATTGCAGGAACGGTTAAGAGAGATTCTCGTGAACTCGTTTGCGAATATTGCATCAGCATTGTGGATGCTGTAAATCGAAAATCAACCAATAATTATACTTAGTGTTAATCGAAATTTAAAAAATATTTTTTCCAAATTAAGAAAAAATATAAAAATATGATCGTATATCTGAAAAGAATCAAAATTAAATTAATTTATTTATAAATTCTATTTATAAATTCAACAAAATATCTAAATTATAATAAATGCATATTTTTTAATATTTCAATATATAAATACTTATTATATTATATATTCGAATTTTTAATCATATATAAATATTTATTACTGTTATAATATAAAATATTGACAAATAGAAATAAATGAAATATTTAATCAAATAAAATATTTTATAATTTTTTTTTATTAAATTATTAAAATCTGAATATATATTTATTATTCAGATCTGAATATATATTTATTATTCAGATTTTAATAATTTATTGAATATTTTATATATTTTTCTTTCAATATTATTAATTAGTTTCTTTAATATTTAAATACAAGTATATTATTAATAAGTTAAAAAATTATTGTATTTTTATAATTTTTATTGTATTTTTAAAATTTATGGTTTTTTATATAGTCTAAATATAAAAATTATTTTTGATAATAAATGTTTAATATAAAACAAGAAACTGAATTCTTTAAATTACATACCTGAAGCCAGATTAATCAATCTTCTTTTCTTATTTGTTACTAATGCAGGAAAACTACAGCAATCAT